TGACAGCCACTGTGATTTACCTTCTGATTGCGGTGGATCTCCCCAAATGGGTTATCAGAGCCATCGACAAGAAACGTTGGGGATTTCTATGGAGAGGACATGAAAAGGCTAATGGAGGAAATTGCCTGGTAGCCTGGGAAAAGGTTCAGAGGCCTTTTGAATATGGAGGGCTGGGCATTCACAATCTGGAATATTTTGGTTGGGCACTTCGGATCCGCTGGCTTTGGGCACAGAAAATAGATCCATCAAGACCTTGTTGGGCTGGTTTCACCATCCAGGTACCACAAAAAGCTCAAGCCTTGTTTCATATGGCGGTTGTTGCAATAGTTGGAAATGGGGACACAATTTTATTTTGGTCAGATCACTGGATAAATGGCAACACTATGGCAGAAATAGCTCCCAACCTTTATAAAACCGTCCCCAAAAGGGTGGTGAGATCAAGGACAGTAGCACAAGCTCTAAATAATAGGGTTTGGGCGTCTGACATAAAAGGGGCTCTCACTGTCCCAGTTCTGATGGACTATTTTAGGATTTGGGACTTGCTGGATAGAGTGGTCTTGTAGCAGGAAGTTCAGGATAATTTTCGATGGAAGCTGACCCAAACTGGTACATATAGCAGCAAGTCCGCTTACGAGGCCTTCTTTGTTGGTTCCATAAAATTTGCAGCATGGCGAAGAATCTGGCGGAGCTGGGCACCTCTACGCTGCAAATTCTTCATTTGGTTGGCATTAAAAGGAAGGATCTGGATGGCAGATCGCTTGGCCAAGCGCGGGCTGCAACACCCAGACGCCTGTCCTCTGTGTGACCAGGCACAGGAAACAGCCCAGCACCTTCTTTTATCATGCGTGCTCACTCGTCAGGTTTGGTTCTTCATTTTCCAATATCTGAACCTGATCATCGACTTGCCCACGGCTGAGTCCTCTAGTTTCTCGGTCTGGTGGTGCAACACCATCCGGGCAGTGCCAAAAGATATGCGGAAAGGTTTGAACTCTCTCATCATACTTGTGGCATGGGAGGTTTGGAAGCACCGCAACTCCCGCGTGTTTGAAGGAGTACGTCCAAGCATCCAGATACTACTCCAAATAGTGGCAAATGAGAGCTCCTTGTGGTGTATGGCTGGGCCTCAAAGCTCCAGGAGCTCCTCACTAGGTCGCTTGTGCTGGGCACTTAGGTGCCATGGCTGCCGGTCAAGTCTACAATTTTTTGTTGGCAATTTTTGTTTTCTATTTTGGTGGGTGTGTTGGTGTGCAAGGATTGGGGGGGTCTCCCCTAATCTTTTGTATCTGTTCACTTCTTTCTTAATGAAATGACGTGCAACTCTCCTGTGTAGTTTGAGAAAAAAAGTTTTTAAACTCTCTCTCTCTCCCTCCCTCCCTCCCTCCCTGTGTGTACCGCTACTGATAATTGTATAGCAAACTCTTGGTTGACCAAAAACCTCTCGTATTGTTTCTGTTGGAGATGACTCAAGATTGGATAATTTTGGAAGAATTTCATTCTTTCATGATCATATGGCTTGTTGCACACTTCTATGATTAGCATATTGTTTCCATTTATTCGGTCCATTATATATTTCTTGAATTGCGGTGTATGCAAGCTAGAAATGTGTTGTGTATCTCTAGAGCAATGCTACGGTGAAATAACTTTTGCTACAGTTGCAACACGAGCAAGAGTTAGAACTGCTAAAATGGCAAAAAAATATCGATGCCATGATTGCTCTTATAGCTTGGTAGCATCATTGAGGTATTTAGGAGACCTAACTTGGGCTGTCTGTTGCTTATACTTTTCTTGCTTTGCTCTGTTTACTCATTATGATGGCTGCTTGTTTTAATAATGAGTGTTTCTTCCAGTATTGTTAGAAGTGTGCTGCCAAATTATTTTGCATGGTATGAATCCCTCATAATATATCGTATCAGTTTATAGTTAAAGGAATGATTGTTAATTTATCACCCAATGTTACAAATATCCTGCGCTAGCATGCGCTATTTAAATTTCTTTGTTGGAACCTACGTCTCACCGTAATTCCAAACTGAAAGTTCCCTTTTATTTGTTTTGTTAGAAGTTGTTAAACTGCATTTTTGTCACCAGGCACATAAAACATTATGTATGAATTGCCCCCCGGGCTTGCTGGATTGAAAAATGTCCAGTTATTTGTGCTTCTAGTGTTCTGCTTTTGTTTGGGCAGTTGTATGAAGTGTTCAATTCCTCACCTTCAGTTCGTTAGCTTCTACCTTCTGATACTGCAGTAGAAAATGATTACTTGGCACAGGCACTGCTGAAGATATGCTTTTATTTATGATCAAACCATTAACAACCTGCCCCATAAGCCTTTTGGGAGGTGTCTAGTGTTTTTTTTCCTCTAAGCCAAAAAATAAACTAGACAGTCCTAACATGATCTAATGATTCCATTATATATTGCTCTATATTTTGCTGATAATTAATTTAGGGTGTTCTAGCATATTTCATTTTATATTATGTTTTAAATTAGCTCCAGTGACGTAGCTAGTCAACTGTATAACCTCCTCGGGGTTGACACGAAAGTTGCCATTGTTTCTGTTGGAGTTGGACACAAGAAACTTCGCTTTCCTTGTTTTACTTTTTTTTTGAATGTCACCGGGGGGATTACTCCCCACCTGAATATATATTTAAAAAAACCCAAAACGGCTCGTGTAAGATTTACAAAAAGTTTAAGGAAGAAAAACCCCATTTCAGGACACCTAGCGCCAGGTAAAAAGAGGCACAACCACAGAGAAAACACTGGCGAGAGCAAGGACTGCTACACCAAGGCACAGGAGCTCTTCAACGATGCCTCCAGGGAGGTGAATGACGCCATGACGTAATCATCGTTAGCCAAGCAGAGGCTTGGCGAGGCTTTCGCCCGAGCCATGTGCCGAGGAGAAACAACAGCAAAGGTTCTTCAGCGACGCCTTCAAGAAGGAAAAACTCGTTGACCTAAGCTGAGTTTTCGCTTAGAACCTTCGCTCCCGGACACAGTGAGAGCCGGTAGCCGCCACACCACACGGAGCCGTTTGCGGACTCGCCCGCGATGATGGGAGGCTCGCACCAGCTTTCGTCACGCCGTTGGCGGACTCGCCCACGTTGACGGGAGGCACGCACCGGCAGTGCCGGTTGCCACCACACGCCGCGGAGCCATACGGACTCGCCCGCGACGACAGGAGGCGCGCACCGGCAGTGCCGGCCACCGCCACACGCCACAGAGCTGTACGGACTCGCCCGTGACTACAGGAGGCGCGCACCGGCAGCACCGGTCGACACCACACGCCGCGGAGCCATACGGACTCGCCCAGGACGACGGGAGGCGCGCACCGGCAGCACCGGTCGCCGCCACACGCCGCGGAGCTGTACGGACTCGCCCAGGACGACGGGAGGCGCGCACCGGCAGCACCGGTCGCCGCCACACGCCGCGGAGCCGTACGAACTCGCCCGCGACGACGGGAGGTGCGCACCAACAGCACCGGTCGCCTCCACACGCCGCGGAGCCGTACGGACTCGCCCGCGACGACGGGAGGCGCGCACCGACAGCACCGGTCGCCGCCACACCGCACGGAGCCATATGCGGACTCGCGCGTGACGGTGGGAGGCGCGCACCAGCAAGCATGGGCACTGGCAGTGGCACCTGGACGAAGGAGCCCACGACGATGACGACGCCCGCGTGGCTGACATGGGGAAGAGGGGGTGCCGCTGGCTGCCGCCACACGGGGACGGCGACAAGGACAGAGGGCCGATAGAGCTCGGCGCTGGCGGGTCGACGCACGAGAGCTCTATGACGTGGGGGAGCACCGGGTGGAAGAGGCAGGCGCAGGACCGCGCGGAGTCAGGCGCCGGCCGCCGGCAGGTCAACACACGGGAACCCGCAGGGCCGGTCGCCGCGCACAGGGAACAAGAGAGGGGAAGGGGCCTTGGGAGCTCGGTCGCGCGTGGAGACTGCAGATCCGGCCGTGGGGAAGCCGGATCCGCCCATCCCGGCGCCGGTTGCGCCGCCGGTCAGCTCCCCCACAGGTGTGGATGAGGTGTGGTGTTGGAGGTTGGGGGCCTCAACGCCGGCACGAGCCGCTGCCGAGGCGACGGATCCAGGCTGTGGGATGGTGGATCCGTGCCCAGGGATGGCAGATCAGGCCGCGGACCGCCAGACACGAAGGCCGGGGCGGCGGCGCCATTTTCGGCAGCAGAGGTCGCGCACAGCAAGACGAAACGCCCCGCCGCCGCCCTCCTCACGGTCACCGGACTCCGGTGACGCGCTCCGGCGGCGGCGAGGAGACGGCCCTGGGGAGGGGGCGGCCCGGCGGTGAAGGGCGGCGGGTTCCGCCCGAGTCGCCCTGGAGACGAGGCGACACGGGCGTCGTGTGTCTTCCTTGTTTTACTTTCACCATCACGTGACTTGACTCGTTCTTGCTGAAATTCACTTCTATGTTCTAGCATTGCGTTTCCATTAACTTTGATGTTGTTTCTTGAATCACAGTGCCTTCAAGGTTGGCTTGCTTTTTTTATCACGGCGTTTCTCATGTCAAATGTTCCGACGAAGTGAACGCTTGAGCTCATAAGACTTCTTGTGCCCAGGTCCGTAGTCAATGAATGCGGAGCTGCAAGTTTTATGAATAGGAGCTGCAATTTTCATTCTGTCCTAAATGCCCCTACTCGCAGGGTCGAGTCTTTTTACTGGGCCGGGCCGGCCCACTAACGAAACCCCAGCTTTGCTCAGGGTCTCGGCCGCACGCGAGCTAGCGCCCAGCGGGCGTCGCGGCCGGCGGCGAATGGCGATGCTGCGCCTCCGAATCCGAAGCCACCTCCTCTCCGCCGTCCATGCCCGTGCGCCCTCCTCGCTCCACCCCTTTCACCTCCTCTCCACCGCGACCGCGCCCCCCGCCCGCTTTGTCGCCGAAGACTTTCCTCGTCACCAGCTGTGGTCTTGCGCCCGCCCTAGCCCTCACAGAGCCTCCAGACACATCGCCCACCTCTAGTGCCCCTCGAACCCCGAGGTTGTCATGGCCTTCTTCGCGGATAGCGGCCTCACAAAACCCGGGGGCGCCGCTGCAATAGCCAAGGAACCGCAACTCCTCTGCTCCAATGTGGAGAAAACCTTAAAGGCACGCCTTGCCCAGCTCCGCGACACGGGACTCTCCCCGCCACAGATCTCCGGTCTCATCGCCATCACCCCCCATGTCTTTCGGTCTAAGAGCATGGTCCGCCGCCTCCCATTCTACCTATCTTTCTTGGGCTCCTACGACGAGGTGCATAGCGCCCTCAGAAGTAGCCCCTTCCTCCTCGCGCGAGACCTGGAGTGTGTGGTCAAACCCAACATGGCGTTCCTGCTGCAGTGTGGCCTAACACACTCTGATATTGCCAAGTTCATTTTTTTTGATCGTATTGAAGCCGGAGCGTCTCAAGGAAACTCAGGTATGTTCAAGCATGCTCTCAGTGCCATCAGCGACATCAGCCCTGAGAGGATCGATGCAAAGCTGGATTTCTTGAAGAAGCTTCTTGGATGCTCTGACAACGAGTTGGCATTGCAGTCCGCAAGTTAGACAAAAATCCTGACTATGTCTGATGGCAAGCTGAACGCCTTCGTGCTCCTCCAGCTACTCCAGCGGCTGCGTAAGGGCGGTCTCCATCCGCTCCCTGTCCTCTTCGCCGATCTTCCCTGCCATGTCGCTGCTGTCCTGCACCGTGGTGTGGACACGGTACATAGGTCTACAGTAGAGGTGTATGATGGGTCGTTGTTCTCGACGTCTCTTCTGACCCGAGCTTACTGGCTACCGCAGTTTTCTAACAGATACGCCATGGCCGTCGCCGATGCTGTGTTTAAGTGTTTTTAGGTGCTTAGACATATGTTTCAAGTGTTTCATATAGGTGTTTTAAATGTCATACGCATATTGCAAGCGTATGTTTCAAGTGTTTCAGTTGTTTGAGATGTATGTTTCATGTGTTTGATCTGGATGTTGCAAAAGTATTTAGATGTTGCAGAACATGCATGTTTCAAGCGTACGTTTTCAAACGTTTCAGGTATTTCATATGTATGTTGCAAGTGTTTTATCCGAATGTTTTAAAAGTAGATTTGGATGTTGCATATGTTGCTATGGCTATACACGCATGTTTCAAACGTATGTTTTAAGTATTTTATTTGTTTTTAGATGTATGTTTCAAGTATTTCATCTATATGTTTTAAAAGTAGATATGAGAAAGCACATGTTGCAATAGAGCTGGTGGTTGGCGGACAGCGGCCTGCTGCTGCTATTGCTAGGGCGCCGCGTGTGGGTCACCGTGCTAGTGCCTAAGGCCGTCAGATGCCTCTGTAGCGCGCATACGTAGGTGGAGCAGGTGACTGGGACCGGTCCCATTCGCATGTAGGCGCGTGAAACGGAGCGGGCTTCTCGTGGGCGCGCGTGACAGAGTAGGCATGGGAGCTGCGTCCAGATGGAGCGGGCTCGGGTGGTCCCCGTGTACACCTGTTCGTTTGAACTTATCAGCTAGAATTTACAATATTTTTTCTCTCACAACAAAAACAGCTTCAGCCGATTTATCAGCCGGCTTTAATACGAGCTGAACGGGCTGGGCGCGGGTGAGCAAACCTCATGGGCTGATGGGCGCATATGATAAGGTGGCGCGTGTGGACGCGCCGTTCGGAAGCTAGCGCTTCGGAACAGGAAAACGTTTCATGGTTTAGCTTGCCCTCTAAATGCGGGCTCGGGTAAAATCAGGCCTTAATTCTATATAAAATCAACTGGGAAACATCCGACGGCCCATTAACAGCGCACTGAAAATGACCAAAGCAAACGTTGAGAGTTCGACACCGGAGCACATGGTGGCGCCCACCTAATCCAGGAACTGCTGCAGGAACTCGAGCACCTTGTCAACGTCATCCGGCAGGACGTCCTTGGCCGCTTCCGCGGCGGCGAAGCGCTCCCCCCACGCGGCCAGGAGCGGCGTCCTCGCCGCGTCCAGGACCCTGACGCCGATCATCTTCTCGAACACCTTGAACCACCCCAGGTAACTGCCCAGCACCACATCCACGAACCCGACGCCGTCGCCGCCGAAGTAGTCCCGCCCGCCGGAGCAGTCCCTGAACGCGCCCTCCAGCGTCTCCAGCGCCGCCATGATCCGCGACGCCGCATCCGCCTTCTTCTCGGCCTCCCGCGCGAACAGGATCCTATGCCATGGAGACCCGACCTGCGTACGCCCAAGGCATCCTTTTTTTTTTACCACCACACAGACACAAGAAGGTGATGTTTGGCGTGCGTGTACACTATCGTCGACGAAGGCGGCCCAGAAGCGGGCGGTGGCGCGGCCGTAGGGGTCGGCGGGGAGCACCGATGGGCCCGTGCCGGTGAAGACCTCGTCGAGGTACTGGACGATGAGCTGCGACTCGGCGATCGGCTTACCGTCGTGGATGAGCATGGGCACCTTCTTGTGCACCGGGTTGGACTTGAGAAGGAGCTCGCTCTTGTTGAGGAGGTCCTCCTCGACGTACTCGTAGCTGAGGCCCTTGAGGTTGAGCACGATTTGGACCCTGTTGACGTACGGGCTGTCCCACACGCCCAGCAGCTTCAGCTCACCTCCCTTGGCGGCCATTGCTGCAAAGCGACCAAGCTCGATAGGTGGTTCAGTTCTGGATGTTTTGCTGGGGACGCAGTGGAGCTTACTAATGCGAGTGGCCAGGAGCCCAGGGACATATAATGATTGCACTAGCACACGTTAGGTAGTGCGCAAACCTGTCTTCGGCTTACATAATCGGATGATTTGGGTAGTGGGAAATCGAATGAATGGACGTGCCAATTATTTGGTACAGCTTGTCTCCCCGCTTTGTTTGAAGCAAAGCAATGGCCTTTCAAAAAAAAAAAAAAAGCAAAGCAATGGAACTGGTAGTAGGTGTATTTTCCGACGTCGGATCTTCTACATCACATTTATGCTGTCAGCATTGCACGCCTGCGCGACGAACCAACCATCCTTGGCTTGGGACTCAAAGAGAAGCGTCCAATGGAGACCACAAGTGATCTGGAGCGTCGATGATCCTGGGCAACAAAAGTGAAATGGATCCGAGGGGCTGTTCCAGGAGCGTGAGATGGCAGATCTGGATCATCTCCGATCACGAGCTCAGTTCAGTAGTTGACCCTGCACCAGCTAGGTGAGATAGGACAAATAACTCCTTATAATTGAAGAGCGTGCACCCACGAAGCATTTTTTTACGGAAACGCTATACGTCAACAGCGTGATCTTGACTCCGGCGCGAGAGCTACCGCTCGATTTGCCGGATGCCTGCAGCGTCACGCTGCCCCAGCCCTTCGAGCGTTGGATCTGATCGATCACGTTTCTTATCTCTGGGTGGACTCGCAAATGCCACGGTACGTGTGCAACACGGGGTACGGCCCGCGCGCCGGCCTCCCCGTTGTGACCTCGTCGACGATGATGATGAAGCAACTGCAGCAACTCATGTCGACGCAGCAGCAGTAGCAGCCACAGATGTGGCAGTACCATGTCTCGAAGTATCAGCCAAGGCCGGACGCTACGCCTTCCTCGGTGTCGGCGTCGGTGGCGACAGCGTGGCACGGAATTTTGAAATTTTGTGAAGATTTTGTTTTTTTTTTGAAATTTGTGAAGAATTTGACATATATTTCTCTGTGTCTGGAATACATAGAAATAATTTGTAATTTTTTTTGAAAATTTTAGTATATATTTGTGTTATTCCGAACTTACATAACTCGATCTAATAAATTACACTGAAGACATCATTGTAAATATAGTAATAAGATAGTGTAAATATAGTTAGAAGACGGTGTAAGTGTACGAGAAAAATTCAGTTGACAGTAAAGACCAAAATAACCGAATATCACGTAGACAAATCTTTTTTTTTAAATACTTTTTGGTTGGGAGGACCACGTGTGGGATAGAAAGGGTTGGACCCGTTTTTTGATGCTATTTGGATGGAAGACACGCAGGGGCAGATCTGGATCATCTCCGATCACTAGCTTAGTTCAGTAGTTGACGCTACACCAGCGCTAACAGCGCACAAATTTCCCATCAACGCCAAACCAAGGAGATTTACATACATAGTTTGCCTCAGTGGAGGAGCCAGAGCAAATTCGAGAGGGGTGCGCTTGCCTTGTAGGTGTAAGGCTTTGTGATATGTGGGTGCAAATATGATAAAAATTTAGCTCTTACTATTGTTTGTTTTAGTTTTCTCTGGGTGCGGCCACACCCAATCATTTGACTATAGATCCGCCTATTGTTTGCTTTCCTTCTCTCGCTTACCATCCCATCACTTGCTCTTCTCTCGCTTCCTATTCTATCTATCACTTGCTCTTCATGCATACGTCTTTATCATCGTGCCTCACCGGCCACCAGTCTATCGTCACAGACACGAAATACGATCGTGAGTTCTCCGTCCGTGACGCCGACCAGGGTCTCAAGGTTGATCGTCCTAGAGGACTGCACGTAGCGCGGGTGGCTAAGGGCCGGTGGCTGGTTTGCCCGTCAGCATTCGAGTCTTGGACTCGACGATGTGGTGTCTTACTTGGGTTTTTTCCTCTAAATTTCTTTGCATGTATCCTCGGGCATTTATGAATCACAAGGGGAGGCGACGCACTCGTCGCTAGCGAAGCTCGTGTCTTCGTGAGCTTGGATCACTGGTAGTATATGTTCTAGGTCTAGCGCACATCTTAGTGTTGTGTGTTGTGTGTGTGGCGTGTGTTTGGTTGTACGATCAGATAGTACATCTTATACTACTGATTCAAGGAATAAAAAAAATGGTTGATTGACTCGTACAAAATTGATGATTAGCTACACAAAAGGAACTACAAACAACCCGCTCAAAGTAATGCTTTTTTTATAACCAGGGTCTCAAGGTTGATCGTCCTACAGAATTGATGATTAGCTATACAAAAGGAATTACAAAGAACCCGTTCAAGGTAATGTTTTTTTTATAAAGTATAACACGTTTAAACTTGGATTATCGTAATATGACTTGGACCTAGGATGAAAATTTATGGGTTGAAAGTTTATCTTTAATCTCTAGCCTCTCCTCCTCAAAGCAGTTATGACAAATTTTTTTGGAGAGGCTCTAGGGGGCTCCATGGGATCAGCGGCGGTAGGGGACTTGAGCCCCCTAGCACCCTACTAGATCCGTCCCTAGATTATCGTGCTACAACTCAAATTATTGTGATATTATTTTTTTTCTGTTGCAACGCACAACATGATTCTAGTATATATAAATGCGGAAGAATGGAGCCAAATGCAGAACTAATCCTCAGGTTCAGGTTAATGACGGCACCGCCAGTGGCACTAGATTTGCCGGCGAGTTTTGTTGGCCCTGGTGGCATCCCACATCCCTGCTGACGTCGTGCATGGCGTCTACGGTGCTGCTTCCTCCCTCGGTGGCCGTTGTAGTACTATGCGTCGTAGGGTTAACTACTCTTGTTGGCAAAGTTTAATTTATCCTTAAGGGCATATGCCCCCATATGCATGTATCGTTGGATACACATTGAACTCATTCTGTTAATGAGCCTCAAGAACAGTGCTGCAATGCTGTGGT